ATATATATATATATATATATATATATATATATATATATATATATATATATATATATATATATATATATATATATATATATATATATATATATATATATATATATATATATATATATATATATATATATATACATCATTATCCTTGTAAGTAAAAAGGTTATTTTCATGATTCCAACCTTAATGAACCCAAGTCAAATTTCCATTAGAGAGGTTGATTCCGAGTGATATTAATATTAGCAACAATAGGGTTTAATGTCAATAAGCAAAAATCTGTATTGTGTGTTAATTTTCATCTAGAAGTCAAATTATAAGCAAAAATCTGTATTGTGTGTTAAATTTCATCTAGAAGCCAAATTAAATTCTGTCATAATTCATGATAAAACCCTTGAGTCTTGGAAAATATGAGTAAATCTCAAATTTTAATTTTTTTATGAATACTTAAAATAGCCCAAAGACCTTTACTCAGTAAAAAAATGGTGTTGCCTTGGTGAAAAATATAAGAACAAACACAAAACTAAAATATAATATGAAAACACAATTGGCAAAAATGAAGGGAAACAGTTGAGGAATGAAGAAGACCATCTATTTGGGTAGAGATGAAAAATTGAGAGGACAACTAAAACCTTAAAAATAGGGTACAAATTAGAAGAAAAGAATTAATATCAAGCCCTTATTCTCTTCCCACTTTTGCCTAAACAAGCATGTTCCTTTTTCCTATCAAATTATTGCATCTTATCATGCCATGGTCAACCTTTTGATCTACTTCTCTTTGGATAGAGATGAAAGATTGAGAGAACCCTAAAAATAGTGTAAAAGTAGCATAAAAATATAAGGAAGAAAAAACAATAAAATAAAATCAAGCCCTTTGTTTTCTTCCTACTACTACTCTTCCCTAAACAAGCATTCTATTTCTTGAATTAAATTATGGTATTTATTTCTTTTCCAAATATAGTAAAAACAGGTGCTTTTTCCGTTATTCACCCATTTCTTTTGTGTTCCCCCATTGATTTTTGCTAATTGTAGACAAATAGATGCTTAACTGTACAGAAGAAACAAAGATGGCCGAAGGAGAAGAAGCCAACCATATTAACTACCATGAAACCAGGAGAGCCACACACTCTCTCCACCCGCAACGCTAATCACCCAAATAACACTCCTTCCTCCTCCTTCCTTCATCCTTCACCGTGGCGTCCTCGAAGCCTCTCCCCGGGTGGTTGGTGAGGCCTGACATGAGAACTTTCGGCCCACCATCCCCTTTCCCGTTCGTTCTCCTCCTCCTCCTCTCTTCCGCGGCCGATGGCGTCGGGGACTTTATCCACTTCCTCGGTACTCCGTCGATCTTGCAGCCCAACAGAACCATCATCCACACACTATCCTTTCCCTTTGTCCCCATCGTCAACGACACCATACCACCACCGGAGGCGTTTATCCCACCCATTGTGAGTGACTCCTTTCCCTCCTTCGGCGTTGGTGACATCCCCGAGGCAGAGGATGCCTCCACCCCTACTAGCTTCAGCAAAGCCACCGTCCCGCAGCCGTCGATGAGTGATGCCGCCACCAATGCGAAGCCGTTGTCGAACATCGGCACAATCAGCAATCCCCAGCCGTCGATTAATGCGGCCACCACCATTGCGAAGCCTCTGTCGAACGCTGGCACAACTAGCAACCCCCAGCCGGCGACGAATGCGGCCACCACCAATGAGAAGCCTCTGTCGAACGCTGGCACAACTAGCAACCCCCAGCCGGCGACGAATGCGGCCACCACCATTGCGAAGCCTCTGTCGAACGCTGGCACAACTATCAACCCCCAGCCGGCGACGAATGAGGCCACCACCAATGCGAAGCCTCTGTCGAACGCCGGCACAACTAGCAACCCCCAGCCGGCGACGAATGCGGCCACCACCAATGCGAAGCCTCTGTCGAACGCTGGCACAACTATCAATCCCCAGCCGGCGACGAATGCGGCCACCACCAATGCGAAGCCTCTGTCGAACGCTGGCACAACTATCAACCCCCAGCCGGCGACGAATGCGGCCACCACCAATGCGAAGCCTCTGTCGAACGCCGGCACAACTAGCAACCCCCAGCCGGAGACGAATGCGGCCACCACCAATGCGAAGCCTCTGTTGGACATCAGCACAACCAACAGCAACTCCCAGCCGTCGGCAAATGCGGTCACCACCGATGAGAAGCCTCTGTCGAACATCGGCACAATCAGCAGCGACTCCAAGCTGTCGACGGATGCGGCCACCCCAAGTGCGAAACCTCTGTCGAACATCGGCACAATCAGTAGCGACTCCAAGCCGTCAGCGAATAAGGTCACCAATGCGAAGCCTCTGGCGAACATCGGCACAATCAGCAACCCCAAGCCGTCGATGGATGCGGCCACCGCTAACGCGAAGCCGATGTCGAACATCGACAAAAGCGGCGAACCCAAGCTGTCGACCAATGCGAAGTTGCTGTCGACGAATGCCGCCACAAACCCGAAGCCGATATCGACCATGTCGCCAGTCCCGTCCATCATCGCGGACAATGGCGAAATCAGCAACCCTTTGCTCAAACGCGCCCACACTGCCATCCATGCCTGGAAGCGAGCCATCGTCTCGGATCCCAACAACTTCACCGGCAACTGGGTCGGCCATGACGTGTGCTCCTACAACGGCATCGTCTGCGCTCCCTCGCTCGGCGACCCCTCCCAGGACGCGGTGGCAGGCCTCGACTTCAATGGCGCCGACCTCGCCGGCCACTTCCCCGTCGAGCTCGCCCTCTTGCACGAGATCTCCCTCATCCACGTCAACTCGAACCGATTCCAGGGGCAGATTCCGGGGAACCTCTCCAACCTGCAGCTGCTCGAGGAGCTCGACCTGAGTAACAACGGCTTCGTCGGGCCGTTCCCCATGGAGGTGCTCCAGCTGCCCAAGCTCCGCTACCTCGACCTCCGCTTCAACAACTTCGAGGGGCCATTGCCGCCCGAGCTCTTCGACAAGGATCTTGACGCCCTGTTCTTGAACGACAACCGGTTCAACACCACCTTGCCGGAAAACCTGGGCAACTCCAAGGTCTCCGTCATGGTTCTGACCAACAACAACTTCGAAGGCCGCATCCCCAGGAGCGTCGCACAGATGAATGCAACCCTGAACGAGATCGTCATCAGCAGCAACCATTTTAGCGGCTGCTTACCGCTCGAGTTCGCGTCGTTGGGCAACGTCACGGTGTTGGATCTGAGCTCCAACTCATTCGCTGGGGTCTTGCCCAAGAGCATGATCAAAGGGTTGCAGAACGTGGAGCTGCTCAACATCGCCGGCAATATGCTGACCGGCGTGGTGCCGGAGAGCATCTGCGAGTTGAAGCACCTCATCAACTTCACGTACTCCTCCAACTACTTCAAGGGAGACGCATTGAGTTGCCCCACGGCGTGGAGTTCGGATGTGGTGTTCGATGGCCAAGTCAATTGCATTGCAGGACGGAAAGGACAGAGGGCAGCAGAGGACTGCGCTGCCGTGGTGAATCATCCGGTGAATTGCGGCGGTGGGAATGTGAAGTCGCCACCATCTCCAGCTCCCATCTTCTCGCCACCGCCGGCGCCACTCACGACACCGTCCCCGCCACCACCAGCCACTGCGGCGGTGCCATCACCGTCGAGTCTCCCACCAGTTGGTGGGTTCGAGTATGCATCTCCACCTCCCCCCATCTTCAAAGGCTACTAGTTTGGCTTCAATGACCCGAAATGGTTTATGATCTCTATCTTGACTGCTGTCTTTGCACGGGGAGGAAGGGAACAAATGTATACGCTGAAATGACCATTTAATGTTTCTCAAGAACTCAAGTCTCAGAATCACATGTTTTCGACTTTACCCAATTGGGTTGGATGAGTTAACTCAGAATTTATTGCCTATATATATATATATATATATATAATTCTTTGACATGATCGAGATTAGCAAGATTTCGTTGCTGGTCATTTTGATCCTTCTCAAGCATGTGTTCAGGAAAAGACAAGTATATCGACTCTTCAGCTCTCAGAAGAACGTACAGAGCAGAAGGAGATCTATCGAAGTACAAAACTTATCATCAAACACTTTCCGACATCATGGCAAACGTGAGGCTACACACACCAAACAGGACAATGCTTCACGAGATGGAGTGGCGCCGGCGCTTCTGAAACATGAGGCGAGAGTCGGAAGCAGTCTTGGAGCTCAAGGGCTTGGCATCCCTCCTCCGGAACAAGGAGCTGAGCTTGCTTAGCTTCTTCGTAAAAGATCTGAGCAATTTATTGGCAGGATTTGGACGAACGAGCTCCTTCTTCATGGAAACGTGATCCTTCTCGAGATCAGTCAGCCGTATCCGCATTCGTGCGACCTCCAGCTTGAGCTCCCTGTTCTCTCTCCTCACTGATGCGTAGCAATCTCTGGGCGAGATGGCGCCACTCCCCACCCCGCTGCCCGATCTTTGAGAGTACTGACCGTTTGCTGAGCCGAAGAAGAGCTGATCATGGTTTCCGTTGATGGCGTTTCGGAGCCTGATCTGCTCGAAGTAGAGGACCTGCACCGCCATCTGCACGGGCAGCCTCTCGTTCTGGGCTGCGTGGCTGCAGGCTTCCTGAGACAGCTTCTGGCAGTCGATGGTCTTGCAGAGGCGGTAGCGTTCTGAATCCTTGATGTTGGGATGGACCTGGAATGATCTGAGTTCTATTACACGATCGTCAAGATTGGGGCTTGTTCTGCATAAGATTGGAAATTACCTTGAGGAAGATATCAACAGCCCGGTACAGGCCATCGTTCACGACTCGAGCATGATCCGGGAGTAGCTCAGCAAGAGCGATGAACTTGGAGGGCGTCAGGTTAGAATCCAGTGCGATCTCTGCAAGGTAGCTATCCAAAAGCTTGGAAGCTTTAACCATCAAGCTCTGCTTTGGAGATCGCGGGCTATCGAACACATAACGGCTGTCTCTATCCTCTCTCAAATGAGCTCCGTCGTCGTCTTCCTCCTCATCCGAGTTCAGGAAGACGGAAAAGATCCTGGCGATCGAATCCGTGTCATACAGCGAGTGACTCCCGGTATGGGTGCTTGCAGGAATCAGTATGTCTTCCAGAATTGCTTGGTCAAGCTGGATTCCGATTCTCCTTTCCAGGTCTGCTCTACAAAGCGTGGATGCCGAGACCATTGTGGCGGTCTTGAGGAGACCTGAAAGGAATGCCAGTGGCACCGGGCTCTTTCTCGACTGCGTGGGGAGTAAGCTGACGATCGTCTCTACCTTGATCTTTTGCTTCTTCACAGTCTCTGCATCGGACAAGCTGCACTTTGATGGCCGGATATCTCGAGCTGCGAGGCCTTGGATCGAGTTCTGGGCGTAGTAGATCAAAACCCTGCTTACAGTCTCCTGCTTCAGGCCTTTGGATTTCATGGCAGTGAGAACCCGTTGGAAGAAATCCAAGTTCAGCATCACCAGAGCCTTCCCCCACCAGTCTGCTGTTGCTTCCACCTCAATGAGGCCATGCTCAGGTGTTGCGAGGCCTGTCGTGTGTTCCACTTTGCAGGCGTTGGTTGCGATCGCCATGATGATTCTGCTGATCAGGTTGATGTCCTCTGCTACCGGGAGGAGGCTTTCACAACGATGGAGCACGGTGATCGAGTTCAGGTTGTTTGAGAAGACCACTTCCTTGAGGAAGATCTCAGCTCGGAGCTCCAAGTTCTTCTCTGCGAATTCCTCCGTCATCTCCAAGTAATGCGCTGCGCAGCTCAGCATGGCGGCGTTGGAAAGATCGAGCTCTATGTGGACGCCGTAGCAGAACTTGGCGGCGAGCTCGAAGGCTTCTGCACCACCCGGTGTGCCTTGCAGATTGATGCGTGTCACCTTCGAATCTTTGGCCTCGGACACAAGCTTTCTGATCTTTCCGCTCCTTGAAACCAGAGGGAACTGCAGAGATTGATGGCCATGTCGTGAGTGAGTGTTCAATGCTTAATACCAAAATGGATTGGGCTCAGGAAAAATGGTACAAAACATTTAGTATCACATGAACTACAACATTGTTCTTCACCTAGAGTTAGAACTAAATGCAGGGAACAAAACTCAAGTTCTTTCTGAATTGATCATTTGGATTCGACTTGGTCTCACCTTGTGGAGTGGAAAGCTTGATGTGCCAACTTCAACTGTGAGATCACTGGAAACATCAGAGAGAGGCCTGTAAGACAAATCAACAAGAGTGCAGGAGTCAGCACAGCACAGATGAACATTGTGAAGAGGTTCTCCAGTCGACAAATCAGGAGTTTTGATGAAAGATTACTGTGTAGAAGAGAGAACCCATAGATTGGAATCTACTTGTTATTGCTGACATTAACATGACATGAAATTGCTGCCTGATATCTTAGCAGCAAGAAAACAATGTGGAGCATGGTTTGCTCCCCATGATGCAACCTTTGACTAAATAGCCAGCTTGACATAATTGCCTATGATTCATTCTCTTTCGTCTTTTGCCTTCTCTTCAACTTTCTGAAGTTTTATCAGCAAGAACAGGACTGATGATGAGATAGATATATATCATGCCATTTAAATCTTCTTTCGTATTAATTGCTTTTAATTGAAATGATTTCTTTCGTCTTTCTTCTTTCTTCTTTCTTCCATTCCAATATGACAGAAAACTACTACCACATAAGGGATCTGTAGCAGAAGAGTTTCCTACGTAAAAGAAGCCTATGAATCGAATGAATAATTTGGAACACCAAACAAAATATCATGAAGAGGAAATCGATTTCGACAACTTCATGCGTGGTCTGGAGATCGGAATTACCATTCGGTGGCCTGTCGTGTGCTCAAACTGGACCGAAAAATTCGCTTCCCGGGAACACTTTGCTGCTTCAGCTCACTGACAGTGGCCACCCCCATCTTTTCCTCTCTATGACAAGAAGGAGGCTGCTCTTAGTCTGATGCACGGAGAAGGGAATGAGAACGACGGAGTGTGCTTCTTCCAGTGTTGTAGGTTTATGAGGGTGGAGTGGGGACAGGGAGTAAAGCTCTGCAAACTTGATGAGAAGCCAAGTCTTGAGAACAGTGAGATAGTAGTTGATGATCTGATGAGAACTTTTGGATGACTCTTCCCGATCACTCTGCGCAAAAGGTAGAATTTATAGTATCACCTTTTGGCAAAGAGGACCAACTCGACATAAAGTTCATTGTTGTTGGATACATCTTCTCATTTGTTTATAGCTACCACCATTGCTTGCTAAATAATTCTAGTCAAGTCCTGAGATTGATATCTCAATCTCTTACTTTTTGTTCTATTGATATGTTCCAAGAACAATGCAGCAAAAGAAGCCTCCATGACTGTGACTAGTATAAACACCTTTTGCTAAGATTAAGAGTATTTATGGTAGTCTCCTTCATCTTCTCATGAAGTCTCAATAGTTTGAATGCCATGCCCTCTGTCAGATGGAGAGGAAAATAGGTTCAGCATGAGTTCTTAGTTTCATGAGTAAAAGAAATGTTGTTTGCAGGTACTGTTAATGATAAATGCACAAGCTTAATAAAAGGATGGCCAACACTGCTTGTTCTTCTATCTTTTAGAATGAATATGAGGTGTGAGGTGAGTGGGGTGTCTGTGGCTTTTCATGAACTCCAATATTTTACTGATTGCCATGTGTTTGTGTAGTTTGCAGCATGCATCTTCAACAAATGCTATCAAGTTCATGACTAGGCCTACAAGAAGGAAGAGAAAGAGGCAGGCACAAAATAGAGTTGAGTTCACTTCCAAGCATATTTCCTGGATAGCTTGGCAGGTCATGATGAAGGTGAGTAAGAATTCTCATTCTGAAACTTGTGTTTCAAGTGTATTGTGGCACAGGTACCTCTGATCATACCCAGTGAACTTGGATCTGAGCCATCTGATTGGGATCCAAGGGCTAGGAGGGGTTGATGGGAGCTGGTCTGTTGGTCTATGATTGGAGAGACAGGAACAAGAACCTCTCTCAATTGCTGATCCATTGTGGATGGAAGGAAGTGGGGGTTGGATGGGGAAGGAGGCGACAAGATTGAGAGGAGGGAGGGATGTGCAATTCTTCTCCAAGACATGGTGGTAAAGAGGAGCTAAGAATCATTAGCATAGGTCAAGCTAGTGGCCCTCATTATGGCAGACAAAAAGAGAACCACCCATGACATGTTTGGGCCCATATGACCTAATCTTTATTTATGACTTGATTTAATCCATATGATTGTGCATCATTTCAACAAAAGCAGATGGTCCTGTCTGCAGGACTACACATTACAATTGGGTTTGGCACAAGTCATGTATAATGAGAGAATTTCTTGTAGTGAACACTTCCCAATTGGATAAAGACATCATTTGCTCTGATTGTTCTTGATTTGAGAAACTTGCAACTCCAGCAAAAGGAGGTTCCTGCAATGATCCATGGCAACTCAGTATACTCTTTCCCAAGATTTGGCTATATCAGCTGCAATTTCTATGCATGCAGGGATAAAACTTTGCACTAAGGTCTACTAAATTGGTCGGTTCGGGATAATTTTGATTGATATTTATCGATTAGACTATCGATATATATATATATATATATATAGTGTTCGGGATAAAGGCATGACTTCTCGCACTTGTTAGGAGGCCTGTATGACTATTGCTCACTTATCATACTACGACATCATCATTTTTGGTACGATCCTCGTCTCTTTCTTTTTCTTTTTCTTCTTCCTCTCCATACTAATACATGATACGTCGGAACAGTCCGGTCCATATGGGTCCAACCATGGATCGGAATAAGTTTGATAGCCGAATCCAAAACTGCAAAAATTGCTCAGTGCATTCATCAGTTATTTTGGGACTCCATAGTCTTTCAGGATGACAGTCAATACTGCCCTCAAACTACTACCTTATTCTGAAGCACTTTTCTGCTGTCTTGGTATCTTCAACCACTGACACATGACCATGATCTTGATTTCTGGAAGTTGTTCTGACTGCTCCTTAAAGCTGATTAATCAGCATCTTCAACCTTTATTTTAGTTGGCCAGCTGAATCAGCTTATACTTTAAACTGACATTTGATAGTTCCAAGCATATGATCATGAAACTATGAACATGAACTGGAAAGAAAGCTTAGTATAGCTGGTTCTACTTTAGAGCAAAAAGTTAGGGACAAAGCATTAAAAACATGAATGATACCACTATTATTTTGATTAAGGAACAATAGATGTTCCCCAGAACTGGATCAAAACTTAGCATGGAGCAAATTGATGGGGGAAGAGTGTTCTAGGAAGTACAACCAATGGGCTGAGGTGCTGGCAGAGATGAAAATAATCTTCATACATGTGCTTGAAATTTCTATTTCTTTGTAGGCTATTTTGCTGTGGTGTCTGTTTCTCTCACTCCAAAAACTTGCTGAACTATTTTGATTGCCAGGTGGAAAAGGAAAGGACAAAGGATGATGATGATGCTTGCAACTCAGAGTTGGGAATAGCAGTTTGAGCATGGCATGAGAAAATTTGCAGAATGTCCATTGCAGCATAATGCTCAGATAAGGAATACTTAGGTTCAGACTCAATAAAACATTTTAATTGTTGAATATGAAGATTTTTTTTTTTATAAAATATATATCTCTCTCCCTTTTGTTGAAGAAATTCATTCAAATAAGCAGTAAATTCAGAAGATCAATTGTTCTCCAAATCCTTATTTTGGTAATCTATACACATCAAATCTCCTCTTCCTCCATGAATCATTGACTGTTGTTAACAAGCAATCATTTTGGTGCTCCAAAACATCCCAAGTTACCCCCATATGTTCTGATGCCAATCTCTGACTACCCATTACTTGCTATTGATTAACTTTAGGAATAATTTAAGGGGTTGAAACCATATATGTTTTAGGACTTACACATCAAACACTTGGAGGAGCTGAGAATAAGACCTAATCTCATTACCCTTTAAAATCTCTCTCTACTATGTAAGTGTAAGAATATGTCAAGCAACAAAATAATTATTCTAGCATAATAAATCAAAATTCACAACTTTGTTAAAGGATAACACTCTCTAAGGTGGAAACATCCTTGGTTGGGTTTTGACTAGAATCTAATCTGACTTGAGCTCCATCTAAGTTGATTTAGGTGTGGATCAAAATTATTGATAAAGACAGGCCATTGCATAATCTCTTTCTCTAATTAACATTGGGTTCATTATACCATTAAATTGGATCTATAACTATAATTAGTCAAAATCATGATGAAAGACTCTATTAATGATAGGAGTCTCTATATGTTGTTTGGCCCAAAAAAGCAAGCTGGGCCATAAATTTTTTGTTAGCTTTTGGATTAACTTTAGGCTTTAAAAAATATTTATTTTTTCCAACATAAAAATATATTAAAATCTTAAAGCTTTTAGAATCCATCCATGTCAAAACTAACTTATCTAACTAAATAGGGAGAAAATTAAAAAAAAATGTACAAAGATATGGCTTGAAATCATTCACTTCATCTCAAATTTGTGTTCATCATCTCACCCAACCAATTATAATCAAACAACATGGATGGCTGCAGTGGTGGAACACACAAATTGGACCCTTGCCATCATCATGTCAGTTTCATAATGAATTGAAACATGTCACAGAAAATGAGAGAATTTTTTTTTCCCACCTTATATTTTTGCAAGATAATAATTATCAAGGTTGAGAACTCTAAACCTTGTCAATCTAATATATTATTTTTCGACCATGGCTAGCTAACCTAGATATTGAATGATGTCATTATTAATAGGTATTGAATTAAATCTCATGTTCACTGCCATTAAGGGAAAAAGTCGTTGACATTATTGTTAGCCGACGTAGTCCGAATCCGTATGTGGAGTTCTGTTAGAAGTGCCTTCGAGATGGAAATATTAAGCTCTCAAAGTGTTATTTGCATGAAGCTCGAGGTTGAAAGAGATTTCTCGATCCGATCTCTCAAATGCTCAAGTTAGTCACTCGAGATGTATGAGCACGAATGTGAGTGGTCAAAAAAGATAAGTCGCCTTTAATTATATTGAAGATAAGCTTTTATACTTAGTTGTAAAAGGACAAAATATTTCATAGAATATTTTATATGAAAATTATCTCTAACCGCCCCCAATAGTCTCCTCTTGGTTTTTTTAATTACGCGAGCGACAAGGAAGACAACACATAATCACTTGTTTTGAACTTTTGCCGATACAAGCAAATGGGTAGAGGGTGACCATCGTATTCCCCTTTCATTCTAGGCATCATATAACAGTTACATGTCGGATGCTGATTAATTGACGTTGTACTCCCTATCAACTATTTATCTTTAAAAAAATTATTATTAATTATATATATATAATTGGTGTTGAGACATTGTTTCAAAAATTGGTCCTTTGTTGCCAGAAATATGGTATGCAAAATGGGATCATGATAACTGAGAAAAAGACTTCGATCATTAAATAACTGAGAAAAAGACTTCGATCATTAAATGAGCTACTGCATCAACAACAACTGGGACCATCTAATGAGCTACATCAACAACTGGGACCATCTATTGATGATAAAACCTCTGTTCATCGGACGGTCTCGGAACTTTTCGCTGTGCATCCATTCAAACCATAGTTTCCATCTATTGCGTCAAGGTACAATAGCGCCACAGCGAACGCGAAACTAGCCAAACGATAACGTGCCACGTACACTAGAAATTGCTGATCTTGGAATTTACTCGGCCGTTACCATTGAAGGGCGCCCAGGCCATTGCAGCCGATCCGGCTCACTGCTTGATCGACTGTTCCTCGCTGTTCGTAACCAGACAGCAAACAGTTGCCCTATAGCAATACGTGTCTCATGCCAGTAATTAGCGTACTGTAAAGCTAAGATAAGTTAATCTACTATCATTATTCTCGGTTTATGTTAATTTTTTGATATTTTTTATCAATTAGGTTTCAAGTAGCCCAATTCAAATCCCAAAATATCAAATTTTCAAGGTAAAATAAATATTTTTTTCATAAATAATTAAATTGTTTTGAAGTAACACTTTTAGTAAAATAAAAAAATATGTATCCAAAGACTTTACTATCGATATTTATGTGATAGACATGTTTCAGAGGTTTCAACTCATCAACAAATTTGACTGATGATGTTTTTAACCCTAATGGAT